ATTAAAACGTATGGTGCCAGCGCTTGATGTCAGAATGATAACTNTCTCTCCTCCTCATTTCCTCTCCTCCCTCCTCCTAATTTCTCTCTCCCTCCTCATTTCTCTCTCCTCCCTCCTCCTAATTTCTCTCTCCTCTCTCCTCATTTCTCTCTCCTCCCTCCTCCTAATTTCTCTCTCCCTCCTCCTCTTTTCTCTCTCCTCCCTCCTCCTCATTTCTCTCTCCTCCCTCCTCCTAATTTATCTCTCCTCCCTCCTCTTAATTTCTCTCTTCCTCCTCATTTCTCTCCTCCCTCCTCCTCATTTCACTCTCCTCCCTCCTCCTAATTTCTCTCTCCTTCCACAAAGAGGTGGTTATGAGGAGAGGGGAAAAGAGCAAAGAGAGGGCGAATAGAAGGAAGGAGGGAAGGGAAATTAGAGATAAATAAGATGGTTAGGGTAAGAGGGAAAGCGAAGGGGAAGAGGGAGAAATGAAGAGGAAACGAATGAAGGGGAAAAGGAGGAAGAGAGGATATAGGAAAACAAAATTGAAACGAAAGAGAGTTGAAGAGCATGAAAATGAGGAGAGAAGGAAGAGAAAAGATGAGAAAATTAACGTTTTTGTTTGTATGTTTTGCTTATATCTCCCGGTCGATTTTGCTATTAAAATCCCCTGTGACAAGAATTTCTTTTTTTTTATTGGTTTCCGAAAGTTGTAGCACTTCTCCCAGGCTCTTTAATGTCTCTCGAATTAGTGTTTGGTAATTTTCTTGCGACCACACCGATGTATGAGGTGGCAGGTAAACCGTGGCTATTATTATGTTTACCCCGTTCGTTTCTACCTCATTTACCCTCAATTCCACTATGGGGTCTTGAAGGGGAGGAGTGAGAGGTTTCGCCAAGAGGGTGTGTCACAGATCCCCGGGAGGAGAGGATGGGGCGAGAGTCACGGCCCGGCTTATGGGTTTTGGGAAGCCCGTAGAAATGAGGGAGGCGAGGGTTGGTGACCTTGAGCCTCTTACAGATTCGCCTCCAGAAAACCGGCTGCTAACTCAGGCGACGGTGGAAAGTAGCAGCAATGCGTTCTCATATATATATATATATATATATATATATATATATATATATATATATATATATATATATATATATGTGTGTGTGTGTGTGTGTGTGTGTGTGTGTGTGTGTGTGTGTGTGTGTGTGATGAGTGAGTGAGTGAGTGAGTGAGTTGAGTGAGTGATGAGTGATGAGTGAGTGTGTGTGTGGTGTGTGTATATGTATATAATATATATATATATATATATATATATATATATATATATATATATATATATATATGTGTGTGTGTGTGTGTGTGTATGTATATGTATGTATGTATGTATATGTATGTATATGTATGTATGTATATGTATATATGTATGTATGTATGTATGTATCGTATGCTATATATATAATATATATATATAATGGAGATATATATAAATATAAATATATATATATATTATATATATATTATATATATATATATTATATATATATATATATATATATTATATATATATGCAGATAGAGGGAAAAAAGGCAAGGGAGGGAAGGGGCAAATAGAGGGAGGGAAAAAGGGAGAAAAAGAAATAAAGGAGAAAAAAAAAAAGAATAGGAGGTAAGTGAGCAGGAAAGGAATGAAGGAGGAAGATTAAGAACAGAATTAAAGACGGAGAAAAGGGAAACATTATCAGTAGCGCTCATTTGCGTAAATTATATTCAAAATTTTTGTCATTACCACTTCATAATAATTATAAATTCTTCGGTTAACTTTATTCACAAGGGCATTGTACATTTTACTAGTTAAATCATATACTTAGAGGTTAGTAGTGAGCTTACCGTGTCACTAAAAGGTTATATACTTAATTTCGATTTATTTTGTCTTAGTTATCCAGTAACTTATTTAGATTTTTTATGAATTACATAGTGTACATAGAAAACTAACTTCAGGGGTGGCTTACTAGTCCAAATTTCCATATCATTATCTATCACTGCTATTGAAAAGAAGACGAAATTAAAACAGTTGTTTCCTATAAAACAATAAAAAATCCTGATGAGTATTTCCATTTCATTCATTGCAGTTGTTTGGAATATATGTTGATACGTAATATCTCAGTCATTGAGTAAAAATACCTTTGCAAACATGAGTCGAGTGTTACTTGTTTAGATATATCTTTAATTTCCGATTTAAATGCCGCTTAAATTGTTTCCATTTTCCCATTTACTAATTCTATAAACAATATCATTCTTCTACTCTCCCACTGTTTACTCTGCGTAAACAGGGAAATTCGGCTTCAAGAAAGGACAGGAATGAGTCCGTTCTGCATACACTTTGTCCCAAAAATGGAAAACCTCAAAAAGTTATAACCGTTTGTTTTGGCCACATACAAAAAATGCTACAGCAGCTACGATTTGCAGAACTGGTGTTCCCTGCTGTTCGTGATCCGCACATCAAGGTAGTGTGATAAATAAATAAATTAATTAATTACAAAAGACAGTTTAGAGTCTGAACACAGTCATGCTTGGTCCTTTCTTTATTCAAAGCCTTAAAGAATATCAGGAGGAGGAGGAGGAGGAGTGTCGGCAGTCACTCTGATGGTGGGTCGAGTGGGGGAAAGAGGCATTAGAGGATAGTTGAGAGAGAGGAGCATTTTCTTGGGCCATGCTTCGGTTCCGAATGTCCATAAGGGTTTCTGTAGGGGAGTTGGGAGGGGAGGTTTGGGAAATGAATCTTTTAAGAGTAGGTAAAGAGTGGGTTGCTATTTAAGAAGAAAATATTGTTGTATGTGTGTATGTGGTCGGTGAAGATGGGTGGAAAGTTTAGTGGGAGTAGGCATGGGGGAAGTGGTGGATATTGGCGTATCTGGATTTAGAATGGAGAATGGATTTGAATGGGAGATAGGGATTGAGGTGGGAAGGTGAAGAGTAGGGGAAGAGATACTGTTGAAGATGGAGAGACAGTTTGGGTAGAGGGACGAGCAGAGCATTGAATTGTATTGGAGTAGGGACTGATAGAAAACCTTGATGGCGTGCTTCTTGCCTGGCTTCTCGTAGAGTTAGGCCAAGTTTGTATATGATTACTGCCCCTGATTCAAATTTGTAGGCAGGGCAGCTCCTACAAAAACATTATGTGAGCCACCACAATCGGTACATGTACGTAATTGAGCCGGGTAATTTGAAGGATCATGACTAGGTTGGGCACATAGAGGGCATCGGGCCGTGGAACAACAGTGTTTTGCAGGGTGGCCAAAACCCTAACATTTCTGACATTCACAGGGAGGAGGTCGATATGGTCTCACATGGCAAGATCCTCCACCAATATATACCTTATGGTCATGTCTACGGAAGGTAATCTTGGCAATATTATCATTGAAAGTACGGCTTCCTCTGGGAGGAATAGCATAGCACTGTCCTGATCAGTCAGTAAGGCAGGAAAGTAGGTCTTTCTTTACAGTCTGACCAATCCTTGTTATAAACAGGGCAGTTACTTGGGGAAATTGAAACAGTTCCTGTACAAGTATTAAGGGAGGGGTGGGGTTGAGCAGCAATAGGTTTACCACTGAGGTCCACCAGGGTAGATACTGCATGGGCTGGAGAATGTAACAAGGCGTGAGTAATCAGGACTACTGTGGAAGGAGACTTTGCCCACTTCTTTTGAAGGCACTGTTGCAAAAGTAGGGTGTTTTCAGAGTACGGGGCTGTTGGGAGAATCACATAAAATCTGGTACATTTGGTTGGTCCAAACAATGTATTCAAAAGGGTTGTAGAGGTGGGAATTATAGAAGGATGTGGACAGGAGGTAGAGAGGGTGGTGTGGAAAGATGTAGTGATGTGATGGGGAGGGTAATAAGGTTGCAGTGTTGTAATAAGGGAGGAGGACATAGGAAATGGAGGTGTTTATGCAGATGGGGTCAAGGATATTGGAGTTGAGGGAGGGGTGTCTTTTTGAGGTTGAGTTATCTCGGTAGATGGTTCAGGATGGGTTAAGCTGACAGCAGGTGTCAACAAGGGGGATGTAGTAGCAGTGGTCTGAGCCATGGTCAAAGGGGTCACAGGTCGGTGATCCAGAGGAGTTTGATTTAGGGGGATTATTTGTTCAAAAATAAGGGTACAAAATCTTCATTACTGGCCATGGGAAGCTTAAAATACGTGGGGAAGATTAACAGTTCACCTCTCAGGGTCCCCATGAGGGGTAAGAGCTAGACAATTACCCAGGGAATACTGTGCTTATGGCTCCTTGAGGCTGTTCATGGCTCTCAAAATCAGGAGTTGGGGAAGGTAAGGGAAAGGAAGGAAAGAGGAGAAAAGGCCACAGAAAATTAGTTGAGATGGAGGCTGTGGTCCAACGTAGGGGTGAACCCTACATTGGCCCCAGTCTCCGTCCCCCTAAGCCCCCCCCCCCTCCCCTCGACAACAACGAGAAAGGGATTAAGGGGGGGCAGCTATCATACTTGGGCCTGTGCCATTCGCTGCAAGACCAGTCAATGTGTGGGAAATAAGTGGACAGAGTGTGCTTGAATCCTAGCTAAAAGCCTGGCTGGGAGGCATCGCAGGTCCATTTCTATCAGTATTTCATGATGATGATATTCATTAATCCCATTCATCTTTCCAACACATTATCATTACTGTCATTGATACTATTATTGTCCTTACTGATATTAATATTACTACCACTACTATTATTACTCGAAGTATCATCATCATTATTATTACCATCATCACAGTACTATTGTCATCATGGTTAATGCAATCAGTGTTATTACATTAAACTGTTCCAAATGTCATCATGCAATTCTTTAGTTCACTTTTTATAAAAATCTTAATTTTGGTATCTATTTTCACTGCAACCTTCTAATATTGCATGAATCTTTATCTACTCCCTTGCAATTGTTCTCTTCCTATATTTACATTTTTATTATGACTACACCTTATTACTTATGATTGTTATTATTTGTATAATTTATCATAAATGAAACACTAAAAAAGGTCATCTCAACATTTACTTGTAATGATCATACATAAATAGATATACTCACAAAATATAAGTCACAAAGACTGCTGGAAAAATAATGTACAAGTACAATAAACCTCTGATGAGAAAAATATCATTAAGATACAAGAATGTTCTCCTCCAGTGTGAAAAAAAGGGTTTTCTAGTTTTAAAGTAATTTTGCTAAAAGTACTACTAATAAAATAAATAAATCTGACTCCTCAAATTTCTTCACCTTATACAGTAGATGATAATTTATGTCTTCTGCTCTGTACAAACACTGAGCATAATCAAAAGCATGCTGGGAAAATTTCGTAAATACGTTCATGTTAGTTTATCACTCACAATCTCAATGTTATAAGTTTTAAGCATGACTAGATACTATGGAACATGTACGAATGAATAAGTATACAAGTAAGAAGTGTACATGGTATTCCCCCATAACTATATGAAATACAGCTCAAACAGAAGCTTTGTGCCATATGTAATTTCATAAGAAATGCATTACTATCCAGAATCCAGAGTAATAACATACGCCTGCACGACCATTTCAGGGTACAGGTATTAATGGAAGGAAAACTACATGCCATACAAAAATACAAAACCATGCAATTTCATGATGCAATCTACTCTTATTTTGCAAAGGTATATAAAAATAGTTCATGCAATGCTTTAAAGATTCGAACCTGTCATCACTAACATTTTATTTGTGGAAAAAAATTACAATATGAATATCAAATTTATTGCTGTCTACAGAATTAAGTTTGGCTCCTTGTGCTTCAGACACTTATTTTGTCATGTTTGACAAGCTATAATATAGCTTCTTCTTGTTCACACCAAAGTTTGTGCTTTGGATCATTAACAAATCTTTTGATAGTCCGGCAAGCAAGACATGTGACCACTAAGTGCTTTTGGCGACGAGACCTGTGTCGAACCCTTGCATTGACACCATATACTAAGGCCACTCCACACCCTTTGCAGAGGGAGCGCTTCAGTGCAGGGGACAAACGCATCACACAACGACGACCAATGGCTGCAGCCAAGGCACCTGTCTGTGAAGCAAGGGCCTGGTCAGCACATTCATGATTCTTGTGACTATTTTCCTTATACTCTGAGGGAGGCATTGTTGCAAGAACTTTTGAGACCTGCACGAGGTAGTTGATCCGTTCTTGGTTTTCTGACACTGGGTCTTTCGGCTTTTTTGTCTGTTTCTGCTGTTGCATCTCTGCATTTTGATTCTGTTTTCTGGGGGGTTTCTTTTGTTCCTCTCCCTTTGGAATCTCACCCTTGAGTGTGCAAGTCACTTCCTGGTTCCCTTGTAAAGTTTTTTGCTTCTTAGGCATAATTTCATTCATCTCTTTCTGTTTCCTTTGTCCTTCTTTCCCAGATTCACCCAGGGTCTGCTGAGTATTTTGTTGTTGTACTTGGCATTGTTCCTTTTCTGAAATCATATCCTGTTTGTTGGATTCTAGCTTCCCCTCAACCTCCAATGTCTTCCCTTGCTGCTGTCCCTCAAACTCCAGATCACCAGTAATGTGCTCAGGCTGTTGTTGACTCTGTGATGCACCATCACTTGGGACACCATTCTGCTGAATATTAATCTCCTCCATTTTTTGGACCTTTAATTTAGAGTGTGAACTACAGAAATGTCCCTTTACTTGGTGTTCTCTAGATTGCAACTCTCAATACCAGCAGGACCATCAGAATACCCGCAATAAAGTCTGAAAAAGGGTAAAATACAGAGTTAACTCAATTAGGTTTACATAGAACAGGTTTAAAGGAAGGAATAGTAACAAAACATGCTCAGTAGAGTAGGAGCCTAGGTTTCTTTGGCACAGCCTTTGCTTTTTGTCATTTTGACAATTTTGCTTCATACTCTTTCAACTGCTCAACAAAACCTACATTCGGGCGAATGAAAGACCTCTTGGACTTCACAAACCTATGCGCTTCATCATAATTCATGCCATAGTGCTTCATCAAATAAGCAATAACAATAGATGCTGCACGAGATACACCAGCATTACAGTGCACAAGGACACAACCTCCAGCCATTATAGCATCGTGGATGAACTCACAACACTCGTCAAAAATGTTAATTATGCGGCAAGTTGGGGTGTCATAGGCCTCCTTTGTTTTGTAGGTAAACCAGCCATCAAAGAGATTTATAACCCCCGTTGCAACATTCAATATGTGAGTCACCTTGTTTTTATGGAGAAGCTCCAGGTCATGGGCAACATCCTGTGACCCCAAGATTAGCTTTGTTAGGATGGGGGAATATCTCAGGTCAGGCTTTGTATCAACCACAAAGCCTGGGCTAAGAGGTGTTAACATTCTGACAACATGTGTCCCATCCGGGCGAATGTCTTCAATCTTGGACTGGCCATCTGGCGTGGTCACCTGTGTCTGTGTGTGTCGCAGGTTTGTGCGCTTGGCCTCTAACTGTTGAGCTAAGCTTGACATTTTGAGAAAAATCTGGATACAAAAAGGCACAGACAAGGCTCTTTATGAATTTGATGGAAATAGCAACAGGCTAGCAATAGTAAGAGGATAAGAGAAGCTCTACATGTATGATTCCAAAATCTACTACAGAATACTACAGTCTTCAACTTTTACCAATTCTCTAGTTTTTCATTTGGTCAGTCTTTGAGCAACAATGAATAATTCACTAGCTTACTTTCCTTTTCCTTGTCAAAATACTTTCTTACTTGTACAACTACAATCCTAATACCTTTCTTACTAGAAATGACAAGAGATTGTGCACAAGTAATAAAAATTCTGTACCAACCTTATCTCTTTAGTTCACTTGTCCAAGTTTTACACCTTTTCACTTAGTCTATATCACCTAGAGTAAGCCACAGTGGATTTCATATTCACCACTTCAAAATGTCACACTACAGTTTCTTATCTCCTTCCCAACTGTCAACAGCACTGAAGTCCGGATAAGGGAAACAGAAGGCCTCACGAGGGTAATGCACATTGACGAGGTAAAGTCCAGCAGGTGGTGCTGTGATGGCTTTTGAAGGCCAGCTGTCACGACTAGGAATGCTTAACATTCGATGCAGGTCATCAAAGGAAATTCGTTCCTGGCCCAAAGCCACTAACACACCCACTGTCTTTCGTACCTAAAGTACAGGAAAAATAAATAATACATAAGTTAAGGTTTGAGTAGGAATAAAGTTATTTCTTTCTAAATTCACTTTACTGCATGAAAAAAAATCAAAGTACTATGAATATAATTTTCTCTTGCTAGATACTCAGCATGAGGAAAAAAATTGACAAAGTGCATAATATTAAAGATAAGAGCATACATTATATTATTCTAAAATAATACAATTATTGGTAAAAAGGAAGAAGAAGAGGAAAAAGACGAAAAAGAAAAAGAAAAAAGAAGACGAAGAAGAAGAAGAAGAAGAAAGAGACAAAGACAAATAAGAAAAAGAAGATGGAGCCAAAGAAAGAGATAAAGAAGAAAAAGATGAAAAACAAGAAAACGACAAAGAAGACAGAAAAAAAACATGGACAAAGAAGAAATTAGCAAAAAAAATTCTTTCAACCAACCTGTCTGTACAGGAAAGACCTAGAGTTCACAGTGATGTCCCAGAACTGAAGATTGCTGTAAAGAGGCTCAAAGGCTGGATCCAGAAGAGGTCGTCCCTCAGTGACTGTGATCTGGAGAGAGAAAAGTTACCTGATTAGGGCGAGAGAAGCTAAGGAAGAGAAGGAGAAAAGGACATACTTGAATAAAGTCTTAAAGTCATCATGCTTGGAGAGAAAAAAAAAAAAAAAATTATTCCTACTCAAAATTACAGGAATACAAAGACAGCCAGGTCAGTTGTTACATTTTTGGTTTTGTGGATACGTCTAGGCGTTTGTGTGTAAATTCAGGATCAAGTTAGTGTGACAACAGTGACTGAAGAAGTTGAACTAATTTTCAACTTGTTTTTTTCTTAATGCTCATATGTCCCTCCCTATGACTTCTACTCCTACCTAAATTTTTGTTCTTCTTTTATAAATTAGCAATACAAAGGTAGTCCTATGTTCTCTTAAAATTTGCATCTGTTGAAAATATACAAATCTGTGAGTAACAACCAGCCCAAGTATCCCTTACGTAACTATCATCCTAAAAAGCACCCAGAAATGCAATTTCACGAAAGACAAAACCTCTCGAGCGGAGATAACTTTTCTCTGGGGGCGTATTCCACTCACCTGATTGATGGTGCGCTTTGTGTCCACCCCAGACCCAGTCTTCCCGGCAAAGGTGGCAAAGTCGTGGCTGCCCTGAAGGATCTGACAAGCCTCCTTCACCTTCTCGACATCAAATGGTGACCTGAAGGAGAGTTTTATTATTATTTCAGCTAAATCTATGATCCACAAATAAGATCCAAATTGCTGAGCTAAGGAAACACAACAATAATAATAATAATTATTAATGAAACCTTATTCACAAAAGTACAAAAAATAATATAATATTTGAAAAAAAGTATATACAATATAATAAAAATTATAAATCATCAAATACCTTCTGGAATCATATAAAATTTCTCACAAAAGCAAATTTAATATTAATCAAAATATACATCTTTCATTAAGAAAAAAAAATATATGCTGTATATGTATCTCTCGGTAAATATATAGCTTAATGCCTTTGTTTTGCTTTTTACAAGAATCTCTTTTCTGGTGTATTTTGGTATAATCTGAGAGAAAAAGAAGGAAAAGAAAGAAAAAAATGACATTCTAATCTTGTGCAACTGTACAGTATTTGACCCCCCACCCCCTACCAAGTTTGGAAATTGCCCAAAAATGATCATCATATAATGGTGAAATAAGAAAAAAATATATATACTTTTTATATATAAAGGCCCATATGTGTATGTATATCAGCCTATATATGTTTTATGAGGTATAAGTATGCCATATATAGGTATATATATAAGTATATATGTAAGTATATGAATAAGTATATGTATAGGTATACATTCAAGTATATGAATAAGTATGCAGGTACAGCTACATCTACAGCTATAGGTATAGGTATTAGGTGGAGGTGGAGGTGGAGGTAGGGGTAAGGGTAGTGTAGAGGTAGAGGTAGAGGTAGAGGTAGAGGTAGAGGTAAGGGAAGTAGGGATAGGGATAGGGATAGGGATAGGGGTAGGGGTAGGGGTTAACTATAGGTAGTGGTATATATGCATGCCTATGTGTAATAATGATAATAATGCTTTTCATATGGACAATTACTAAGGCAGTCCTATAAAGCCCCATAATATATTAGTCAAACATAATTACCTTAAAGAATAACTATTGTACATGATATATACACAAGCAATCAACTATTTGAAAAACTCTTTAAACACTATGAACTCACTTCACAAGATAGCACCTATGTAATTCTCCAATAGGTATCAAAGCATCGAAACTGAGTGATTGGCATTGGGACAAGTCTGCCTCGGGTCTAATGACAGCTAGACGGTACAGATATGTTCTCCCGGTTGCGTTGAATCTCGCATGAAAAGTAGGAGGAACATGGACAGTTCTGTGAACTCTGTTGCACAAACAGACAAGGATTAGTGGAGTGCAATATAAATCTGTGCTTCATTACATTAGCAAACAAAGTTATTAACACATTATTACAAACTAACTCACAGTCACAAATGCTCACCTGATGTCAGCTTTTGTCTTCTGAAAATAGCGATTTACACCAATAGTGATGTATTCAGGTTCGTACGGAGGTTGGGAAGGTAGACGTTCTAAGTCCACATGAAGAGTATTACAGAGTGCATGGACACCTGCAAAACACATGAGGTTTAACTTCAAAATCTATACCCCTACACTTTACTTAACATCTGTGGGTAATATGATCTATAAAATAGAACAAAGTGTTTGTATCATACTGTAAATCATCATTTTCCCTTTATTCCGGACGAGAAGGTTAATACCAAGGCTCTTAATAATCATGAGTGATATTAATGAATTATGTGAACAGTTCCCAATATTCAATCCTATGTCAAAAATATTCTATAATCTACTAGAGCTTTGTCTTATATCAATAATACTGATATAGGATTCATTTGCATCAAGATAGAGGCACAATTAAACAACTCTAGTTTTGTTTCTGCTAGCATGCCACAGACATTTTTGAACCATCTCTATATATGGCACAACCATTGTCTTTCATCAACAGTAAATAATCTCACCCGCATCTGTGCGACTTGAGATATAGAGTTCGGGGGGGTTGGCTGGACGCAGGTGGACTAAAGCCTTTTCCAGCAATCCATGCACACTGCATGCCTTCCCATTCACTCCCTCATCCAGCTGTTTCTGAACACCCCTTGAGAGGAAGAAAAGGATATAAGGTAACTGGCAATAAAAAATAGAGGATTAAACTTAACAAACACAAGTCTGAGATATATCTTTATATCTATAGATCTATATCTATATATATATATATATATATCTCTACTCATATATGTCATCTCTCCTGTCGTCTCTCTCTGTCTCTCTCTATCTATATATCTCTTCTCTCTCTCTCTCATTCTCATCTCTCTCTCTCTCTTCATCTATCTGTCTCTTCTCTTCTGTTCTCTCTCTCATCTCTCTCTCCTCTCTCTCTCTCTGTCTCTCTCTTTCTCTCTCTCTCTCTAATATATATATAGATATTATGTACAATATTATACATATATAAATATACATATATATATATATATTATATATATATATATATATATATCTATATCTATAGATAGATATAGATAAGATAGATAGATAGACTTAGATACATAGATATATAGATAGGATATAGATAGATAGATAGATAATAGATAGATAGGATAGATATATACAGATATACGGCAGTGTTGAATGTAGTGCCGAGTGTTCACATTGTCTCTCACCACTCAGAGGGCAGCAGTGTGCCTGTCACCTCTAAACAATGCCCCCCGACCCCACCCCTACTCTTCTCTCTGCCAAACCTACATGTATCTGTCTCAGCTGTGCTAGGTAGGTAAGGTGGTAATAGTTAATCGACCATGAGAATGTAGATACCAGGAGGGAAAAAAATCATATACTCCCTATTCATTAGTACCTCCAGCTCCTTGTAATTTCCCCTAATTCCATGAAAAAATGCTCGCTACGTATTTACAAAATTAGAACAGTGATCGCATTTTCCTAAGCTACATTACTGGCTTTTTGTCTCTCCTCCTTCCCCTATCACCTCTCCTATATCCTTGCCTTTCCTCCTACTTTCCTTCCGCTTCTCATCCCCCTCCATCTCATCATCTTACACCTCCTCCTCCTATCCCGCTCAATGTCTGCTGGTGCCATCCCAGAAAGTGTTGTGTGTGACACCCTCTGTGACGTTGGGCACTGCCCTCCTGCATGAAAGTGCGGTGGTTGCGAGGCGCTCAGCATGTTGAAAGAGCCCGCCCACATCATTACAATCAACAATCAACGCTGCGCCTAACATGTTGGCACAGCATGAGTTCTCCTCAATGACAACAGCCAGGGCCAAAAAAGTGATCATTTAGTTAGAAAACCCAAGTCTGCACAACTTCTGTGCGTGTTGTGCAGACTCTCCTGACCGTTTGTCACTAGCATTTGCCATTAAATATGAAGACCTGATGGCCTTTGCCAAAGCACGAGATGGCAGCTTTCATGTCAATTCAGATCTAATAATGATCATGATGAGCAACTTTCCTGTCATTCACCAATTCACAGACAGATGTCACTGTGACGGAAAAATTACTCCGAAAGAAAGCACATTGCTAAATGATATGCCACGAAGAGCACCTCCTTCTTATTAGAATCCACAAGCCTAAAATGTCACCTTAACATTTCTTAAAGATTACACCCAATAACCAAAACACGGAATCACCTTTTACACAATGACGGAAAGACTCACACATGCCACTGCCATCCAAAAACACAATTTTAAAAATCCCGGAAAGTTCGGAAACCACATGAACCTAAAATCCTAAACCACCATCATCAAATAAAATAAAAACGATCCATTTCCCACCTGAGACTGGTGCCACAGTAACCTACGGTCAGCAGGAACCTCCTCATGAGCCGTTGCCAAAAATGCGCTTATGTAACGAGTGTTGAAAAGTGCGAAAGTTTGCAACCATCGGCGTGATGTTTTTTTTTACTTTGGAGGAAGATGGTCGCTTTTACTTCGGATTGTGTTTACTTGTTTCTCTATTTTGGAAGCGGATTTTTCCTTTTGAATTGTAGAAACATAATTCTGTGGATTTTTTTTTTCGCTTACTTCTTTTTTGAGTTTGGATGTTTTCCGCTTGTTTGCTTTTCACGCACTTGTTTTTCTTTTTTATTTTGGATTCGATTTTTTTTCCTAATTGCTTCTCATTGTATATTTTTTTTCGCTTTACCTTAGACAATTTGAAAAATGAAAAGTTCAAATGGTTTGCTTTTGATTGCTTCATGCACACCCATTTTTTATTTTTTATATAGTAAAACGCATATAGGTTAATGTGTTTGTGTTAATGGCTTTATTCCTTAACTTATCACTGTTTAATTCTACCATATTTTCTGTTGTTTTGATATAATGTATTACTTCATACATTTACTACATTTACAATTGTAATAGATGAATGGCCTTTATAAACAGAAGAGAGCACATGGATAAAATTTAAATAGGAACACAAACTACGGAAAAAAGAGGTAGATATTAATACAATTCATTTTGGAAAATATAACTAATTAAACAGTTAAGGAGCATGAAATATTGGTTTTGATATCTAACTAGGAAAAATAATCATCTACACAAAACAAGGGAGGATAAAGTTAAAACTTTCATGTGCGAGATATGGCAATGATGATAACAAAGTGTATGAAAGAGATCGAATATGGTATTTGAATAATAACAAAATTACACAGTTAACAAATGGGAAGAGAAGAAGGAGAAGAAAACGGGAAAGGAGAGGTCATGCAGACGACGCTCAGCTGATCCCGCCATGACACCCGGACATGACGTCATCCTTCGATGCCATATAACCCTCAAGATACTCTCTAATTACAAATAAAATCTAATTTTAACTTTATATATTTATCAAAAAGTACTATAAGAGGTGTAAAAGTTTATCATGATTTTCGTATAAAGTTTATTAACAGGAAAAAAATATTCTTGAGGAATGACGCAATCCGAGACATGGCAGCGGCTGCTTCTTAGACACGTCCTTTCCGGTGTGTCTTGAACGGGGAAGCAAAGCCAAGGATTTTATGTCAAAAGGACCGTTTAGGATAAATAGTTCAGGTAAGCAGCCTCCGCATGTTGACAGAGATGCATGTGCCATCACAAATAAGAAGGAGAATGGAGAAAAAAGCAAAAAAAGGAGGATTTAGAGAAGGTTGCTTGGGCGGCCATGACAATCTGAATGACGTTGTAACTATGACATTTCTCGTAATAATGTAGGTTATGAATATTACACGTCCTCACTCAGGTGCTGAGACTCCCCAGGCATATCATTTTCTTGGAGCAAGCCGCCTAGGAGCATTAGAAACTGCTAGAGTAAGAAACGACGGTCGTTATAATCTCCCTTTTCGTTCCTCAGCCATATTTACGTTTAATATCGCTCATATTTTATTAATTACTCTGGTATTTACATTCCCCGCGCCCCTCATTTCTTCCCCGCTTTCCCTCTAGTGTACAGGACTGGGAATACTATCAGGCTTCCTTAGGGATTACGATCATATTTAATGATATTGTTTGCATGTTAATTGAACTATTTTTAGAGGCTGAACTTTGGTTAACGTCAATCTAGGTCTGTAACCTTTTTAAAACCTCGTGAGAGTGATGACAGTCATGCATCTATGTTTTATGTGTTGAATTTTACTGTGTGCTTGTTGCTTTGAGTTTGGAGTCAAATTTAGTAGCATCTTTTATTCATTTATTTCTATTATTATTATTCCGCATTTTATGTATAATTGTTTGTTCTTATCAAGTGGCCTACATTGTGATATTAGCACACATTAGTATACACATCATTAACAGACTGTTTATGAAGCGTATTTGCCATTTATTGCTTTTCTAGTTAGTGATGACCAACTGTAGTTATAATATTAACCCTGATAAGTGAAGATGATATGAAGAACTCAAGGGAATGTGAAGTCTTTAGTTAGCACCCTAAAAATTCAAGCCAAGAGTTTGTTGCAGAAGATTCAACATTGTTATGCTAACAGATGAGTGACTAAACCATGTCATAAGCATACTAATTGCCCCCAAAGATCCTGTATTAACCAACAACCTTCCTAACCTTGAGCTTTACCCTCGGACCCCTTCGCAATGTTTTCCCCAGCCGTGTACCCCATCCTAGTAGATACCGCCTAAACACCACTGATTGCTTCACCATTTACAGTATTCTGTACAGTTAAAGATACTTATCAGGTTGCAAGGAAATGATGAAACTAATGAAGTTATGCAATTGGAACATTACTATTACATTTCATTGAATTTAGTGTCAACCCTAGATCGTAACAGTTTCAGTAAGTGATTGTTTTCACCCAATTGTTAGCAAAGAATTTGGGTTAAGGTTTATGAAAGGACCACATCGACTAGGAGAAAATTGAAGATCAAAGCGTTGTAAGCAAATAAACTACATTCATTGTTATCAAAATTGATTTGCAGAAGTGAACCTATTTGAGTTAAACAACGAAAATGGGTCACGCAGAATACCGTACGGAGACCAAGTCCCTATGTGCCTTCAGTGACAAAGTCTAGCCCTCCTCACATCACAGCAAATAGCTTAGTTGCACGGGAACGCAGCATAAACTGTTTTGGCGCATGTAGCTCTTGATGTCATAACAAATTTCTTAGAAGTGCACTGTAGTATTATGTATTTCTGCATTCTAATTTATATGAAATATAGCAATTGGGAAGAGGTCCGGGTTTGGAAGGTTTTTGGTTCATTCGGCGATTCTTATGGTAGTTTGTGCGTTTAAGATGCAGTTCACCCGCTTGTTTGTTCGCACTACTCCGTGTTGACTCATCCATGGCTGAATCTTGTCTCAGGTTTTTAGATTTTCCACATTCTTTATTGTATGAAATACTATTCTTGGCTCGGATTTTCAATTTCCCATATTTTTTTGTTTTTTATAATGCATGGTATGAACAAAATCACCCCCCCCCCCCAAAAAAAAAAATAAATAATAAAAAAATAAATAATAAATAAATAAATAAATAAATAAAATAATAATAATAATAATAATAATAATAATAATAATAAAATAATAATAATAGATAATAAAAATAATAATAATAATAAAAACAGGATTCCCCAACATTGTTAGCGGAAGTTGGGGTCTCTGTAAACATTTACCAAAATTTCAGATCACAAGGCATACCGGTAAATATTCAGAATACCTTCACATAACCTATCTCGATGGCTTCCTCTTACTCTCTACTACTCACATATATAGAAATTATGTTGCATTTGACAGTAGGCTATAGTGAGTTTTTGTCTATGTTGTAAGCTTATATTATTGTTATTTTATCTCACAATTTCCCTGGTGCCTTTCATGCCCTCCCTCCTATCGTGGCCAAGAATGTAGTGGTTTAGGGGTTTCCATGGCATAATTCCTACATGTATGTGGACTAGAGAATGAGATTGGTTACGTGAAGGTATTCTAAACAATTACCATAGTACTGTAAATGAACTTCCCTTTAGGGATAAACAGTGAGGACCTTGACAAATAGAACTCAAATTGGCAGTAAGTGGCTGTGCATGCACAGCCACCTATGGATGTAACAAGTATTACAGATGATAAGAAATGTGTGTTTATAATGATACAGAACACATGACATATTTAACCCATTGAATCTAGATGCTTCACTGTCATCACATGGCCCAACATATGGGCATTAGACTTACTTAAGTGGGCACTTGGACAGGTGTGCAGCTTGTAGGCCAGGTACGCACAAACACATGTGTAGTGAAAATACTCTATGCCTTTCCCCTTGCAATGTTATTTTCTCTTTTTCTGCATAAGCATTTTTAGTTTGTTTGTTTTTAACCATTTTGTAATGTCTATATGTCATTTGATATGCTTTATCAGATATTAACCCACCCGCGCCGGGGTACATTTTGTAGCCAAAATTAAAAATATCCGGGGTAAATTACACCAAAATTAAAAAATAAAGCTATTACTGTATTCTCCGATCGCCACTATTTTTTTTTTTGGCTCAATATGTGACACCCGGGACGAATGGGTTAATACACTTTCCCTGCACACACTCCATATTATTTCTCTTTGTAGGATAGCCCATAACTCAGTTCAGTAATAATAACAATGAGTAACATTTTTTTGTATATGTTTTTTTAATATTCAGGTTTCTGTAATTAAACCTGTACCCCTGGTCACATCAGCCAAGAATAGGAATTTGAGTATGGAAATAATGTTCTCTCAGGAGCCAGTGCTTTCCCTGTCATGGACAGTACATCCCACACTTGTTTATCGATAAGATTTAAGCAAAAGCCCCTTCCTAGACACCTAATGCATCAAAAGAGCCTCCCAGAGCTTTGTGCACTTGTGGTGAGTCATTCCTGTCACCCCAGCATTCAGCCAAAATTCTCATGACAGCAAGTTTGTGTCACCTGCCCCTCAAGCCAAATTTTTCCATGACATGATGGTCATGTCATCCAGATCTAGGGGGTTATGGAATAAATAGATACTTTTTTCAATTTGATTTTGTATAAATCAAAATACAGAAATACATTTGAAGTATAGTAATTCTTTTTAACCCATTCACGCCGAGGTATTTTGAAGCCAAAAATATAATATTCCCGGCGGCTACAAAATCGCTGCTGTGTTGGAGCGCAACCCCCGATACAGCGTCACACTGGCGGGACGCCCGGCAATTTTATTTTGTCGAGTGTCTCATATATGGGACACCCGTCACTAATGGGTTAATATGGATGCACTAGCCATAGACTATCCCAACCCTATGTCACAATCTTTTCAGCAATTTAAGTTGCCTTTAGTGGGTGACTGCCTGAGGGGAAGGTTGATGGGGGCTCTGTCCCCCAACACCCTTTAGCAAACTAGGGCTGAAATTTGGGATAGCTGAGTGGACGTGGGCTGTGAGTGGAGCTTTTCACTGACCGTTTTCATATGTTTGTGGCATTGCCATTCATATCTCCAGATTATATATCTTGTACCAATGACTGAGGGTTGAGTAATGACCAGGGTGGTAACTTGGTATGGACTCAATTGCCAG